TCCTCTATTGTGTCTAATCTGGCTTCGATCTTTTCGACTCGAGCCTCCAACCTATCCTGTCTTTTTCCTCGTTTGCCTACTTTATCCGCAAGTGTTGTTACACCGGACTTAAGACTAATGACCTTAAAAACAGGCTGTGGCATGTCTACTGGTGACGTTTCGGCTAATCGTTTTGCGTTAGTTACCTCGTACCCCGGCAGTGGTCTCTTCACTGTCCCCCGATTCTCCACTTCCATAGCTGCACTCTCCTGTACGCGAGCAGACGCCTCTTGCGTCGCTTTCTGTAGGCCTTGCACTGCTGCTGCCTGTGTCCCCTGCCGTTGGTCGTTTCTAAGTGCGCGTTCCATCTCTGCAATTCTGTTTTCCCTTCTTTTAATCAAGTCTCCCTGTCGCTAAACCAACGCTGCTAACTCCCTCTCTCGAGCAGTTTCGTTCTGGGAGGCCGTGCCTGGCAAGCTCACCTTTTTGTTGGTGTCGCGCGCATAGCTGTTGGGACTGGATACTCGTCTACCATCTTGGCCGCCCCCACGCTCTGGCAATGGCGGGAAGGAACTCGACCAGTCCCTGCTTTTGCTTGTGCCTTCTTTACCCCTAGGTGACCGCGCTGTTGCCCTCGAGGACCGCTTATCGTTGCCAGCTTCGCTCTTTCTTTCGATGCTCTGCTGCCGGCCTGTCGGCGGCTTGCGAGCCAGGCGAAACTTGCAGTTCCGGCTCCCTGTGGGATGCGCACCATGGTACACGATGCAGCCTGGCGTGCACGTAGGTGGCTCTCCTTCTGGCGGGACAGGATGGTCCTTTCCGCAACGGTGACATAGGTTACTCTTCGGACGATAGCAAACGTCCACTCGATGTCCAACCCGTCTGCAGTTGTAGCAGGCCACGACTAAATTTCTGTACGGGATCACAGCGTACAGACAGTTCCAGTAAGTAATCTGCCGGGGTATGCGTTTTTCCACGAACGTAATCTGAATCGCCTTTTAATTTCCCAGAGGTCTCGCGTCCAAAATGTCTATGCCTTCATTCTTTTTCAGGAATCCCACCCGACCTTCTTCCACTGGGCATCCATCATAAGCATTGTAAATCACTCCCCGCACGGAGCTCTCCAACGGTGCCACGAACGCCGAAACCGGCAGGTCGCGATCACCCAGTTTGAGCGTCTTCACAGTCGTATATGCCCCACTGCGATTTATGCACGGTGTGCTCACCGTCAACGTGTTGTTTGTGCCATTAACCCGCACAACGTCTTCTTCCGCGGCAATCGCACTCGTTAGACGCGCTGCTGCTCTCAGTGCACATCCGAGTTCTCTCGTTGTCACAACACTCAAGTCCCAGTTCTGGGGCCTGTACACAACCTTGAAATACGTGGCTGGCAACTTGAGAAACGGTCCGCGTTTCTTCCACACCGGCGCTTTCCCCCGCTTGACTTGCTGCGCTCCGTGCGTCTTGCGCCCGTCGCTGCAGGCCTGCGTCTCGCAAGGCTTACTCTTGGCGTTGTCACCATGCTGAGTCTTCTTAAATCGGTCCTGTGCCTTCAACACTGGAGCCCACTCTCCCGCTTCAAAATCTTCGGGCGTTATAGTCTCCCCTTCGACGTAGTATTCCATCTTCAGCCCAACAAGGCCCACGGTCACCAGGCGCAAGCCAGACGCCCGGCGACGCGGCCCAGGCTTGGCCTAGGAGATAGGCCTAGCCTCGCCACCGCAGGGTTGATAGGAAAATCTCGAAAACTCCGAAAACGTGGACAAACTTGCCTAAACGAGTAGTGTAGGTAGGTACAGGGCAACCTCCTGCAGACGAGCCCACTGACAGCAAGTCCAGAACAAAGCGCGTCCGCCGATAGTCGGTCACAGGGCCGGAGCTCATGCGAAACACGTCCGCACAGCGTCTCACTCTAGCCGTGTCTCCCAGGGAGACGAAATGTTGTCTGGGTAATGCATCAGGGCGAAATGCCGCATGTCGCATTTCGAGCCGGTTGTGGTCGAGCCGCGCTGATGGACGCTGGTCGTGCCTGGCGTCAGACTTTAGAGTGCTCGCGTTTTGCTATCGTTGCGTCGCTGTGCCAAGCGTGCGCGTGCGTCAACGCTACATTAAAGTATATTGGGCCCATCATGATGCGTTCGCGGAGGAGGAGGAGGAGGTAAAACTTTATTAGACCAAGGGATTTGGGCACTTACGTTCCAGGGTCCCCGCACGACCCCACTGTGCTATGCGTGCATGAGCTCATGCAGTTACATGACGTGGGCGGCCCGGTCAGTGGCGATTTTCTGCTTGGCCGGGTCCGTCGAGCGCAGCAAGGTCTCCCATTCCTCCCATGTGGTCAGTGGCTCCGGGCCCCGCGGGGGAGGGTCCGCCGGGCATTCCATAAGAATGTGGGCAAGGGTAGCGTGGGGGTGAGTGCATTGAGCACAGGACGGGGCGTACGCTCCCGGGTAAAAGCGGGAAAGAAAATAGTGGGAGGGAAGGGTGCGGGTCTGAAGGCGACGCCATATAATTTGGTGAAAATTTTTGAGGGGTTGGTGGGGTGGTGGGTATAGCTCGCGTTCGGCGCGATATGACTGGGTCATCTCGTTGAACGAATGCATGCGCTCCTTGGAAGAGCCCGACTCCGATTCCGCCGCCGCCCGGTTGATGAGACCTCGGGCGTGGTCATTTGCGGCTTCGTTGCCGGGATTTCCAGAGTGCGCAGGCACCCAGATCAGCTCCACATGGCGGGCCGGGTTTTTGGTGGGCGAGCTGAGAATTCTGAAAGCACTCTCGTGGACTCGTCCTCGCGCGAAATTTAGGATCGCGGTTTTCGAGTCGGAAAGGACGTACCGGGCATCAGTGTGTGCGAGGGCAAGCGCGATCGCCGCTTCTTCCGAGGATTTCGGGGTGGATGCAGGAGGAAGGTGGAGAGTTGCAATAGGTTGGAGTGTGCGATCAATGACTGCAACTGCCGCGTCGTCGCCCGTGCAAGCTGCATCCACCCATACGGCGTCCTCTTCAGAACCGTAGTATTTGTGGAGAGCTTTTGCACGGGCATTGCGGCGGGCCGAATGGTAGGTAACGTGGATGTTTCTTGGGAGAGGTTTAACTATTATCTGTGTGTGTATGGGTCGGGGGATTAGTAGAAGTGTGGGGTCGGCTGCTGGCATGTGAATATTGAGGGTGTTAAGTATGTAGCGTCCGGTGAAAGTCTGAGCTAAACGAGTGTATTGCGCTCGTCTGTGGGCCTCAGTGAGTTCGTGTGTGGTGTTATGGAGCCCAAGCTGAAGAAGTTTAGTGGTCTGTGTGTTAGGGGGGAGGTGTAAGGCCACCTTGTAGGCTTTACGAAGTATAGCATCCAGGGTGGCTATTTCTTCTTGTCGAAGTCGGAGATACGGGATTGTATAAAGGAAGCGGCTCAGTATGAAGGCATGAATGAGACGACACAAATCGTGTTCCTTAATGCCATAGCGTTTTCCAGAAACTCTGCGGACGAGTGGACGTTTTGCTAGCTGCACATATACCAAAGTTGGTGTTACGTGGCGTCGATAGATGATGAAGTATATGACTGGTGCAAACATGATAATCCTAATACGCGTGCCAATACATGAGAACATACCACGCTCATAGCGTGCTCGCGGCTGTTTCGCTAGCTGCACATATACTAAATTTAGTATCACGTGACGTGGATAGGTGAGGAAGGTGAAGACACATTCAAACATGACAATCATGACACGGAAGTCATGTACGGCATCATTTACCTCCACCTCATCACGTTGTGCTGATTTTAAAGGGATATATCAACATTTCTCATTTGTGCTTCGCATATCATCGATTCTCACTGTACGTAGGATCTGCGATTTTTTTATTGTCCTTTGTAAAATATTTTGAAACTGTACCTGTCATTCGAAGGTCAACTGAATTGGTTGATGGATTGATATTTGAGGTTTAACATCCCAAAACCATATGATTATGAGAGACGCCGTTAGTGGAGGGCTCGGGAATTACGACCACCTGGGGTTCTTTTACGTGCACCCAAATCTGAGCACACGGGCCTACAACATTTCCGTCTCCATAACAGAATTGGTGGCATGATACTATGGTCAAAGAGGCAGACGGTAACGCTGTAAAAAACAACAAAAATATTATTTTTAACCTGTCTTTTTCATCGCACGTATGCGTGATCACCGGTTGAAATGAAAGCTAGACCTTGGCTGTTTGCATCTCCTGAAATTTTGTAGGTTCGTAGGTGCTTTTTGAATACGGCTTGTTTTTGCACTGAAAAAAAAAAACATGATGCCATTTTAAAGGTTTACTAAATTCCCATATTTTACATCGCGAGTCATAAAAGCAAAACTTAAAGTTCCAACATCATTTGTTCTGCAATTGGGAAGTGTGCTACAGCTCCAAAAATATTTTATGTACGTACTTTTTGAATTTACACATCAACAGTAGTCTAACACCCAAAATGGAGCCTCTGCCATCGAAAACACGGTGGTCGCTAGGTAGCAGCAGCCGCTAGAAGCGCTCATTATTCAGTGACACTGAAAGCTGGATCGGAGCAAACGAAACCTTAGAAAGAAATTATTTCTGTCACTTAGCTAAAAAGGTAATGTTGCAGTGCGAAGATAAAATGACTGTGTCAGAAAGGCTATCATATGTGCGGCAATCAAGGAAGATCACGCCAACCAAGCCAGGCGTATATAAAATTTTATGCAGGAAAAAAAAATTCACACATAAAAAACAAGAAAGCACGTTGTATGGTCTGGTTCTTGGGCGATTGCGTTATTCACTCGGACACATTGCCACGAAATATGACAGCTATTAACACCGAAAGCATCTCACCTTTCTTTGTGACAGCGGTGCTTGATGGCTTTAGAAGCCGAACATTTTAAACCAGCAACTGATTGCATGTGACAACCGCTGTTTTCCTCATTATGTGCGTCGCTACTAAGTGTCACACAAACAAAAAGAATAATTCTTGTAGGAAGGTATTTATGTGCTCTCGCCAGCTAAGCTAGCTGCTTCATCAGCCAGCCCTGCATATTGACAATCTTCGAGCGGAGACATGCGGCTGGTTGTTTCTCCCCTTCTTTTCATCGGCGTCATGCTGTGCGTCGACAGCTCGTTTGCACAGGGCCAAGCAAAGCACCGCCTACAGCACAACGTGACCGATGCCTTCAAGGTATTCGCGTGATTGCCTTACATTCAGCGCCTAAACAATAGTCATACCTGTAAAAAAAACTAAAACTACAAGACGTGGACAGAAAATAACTAAATTAGAAAATTATCGTGCCTAGTTTTCTTCTGCAAATTTGTTGCTTGAGATATTCAGTGCACTACGTGAATAATGGGTGGAAAGAGAATTACCGTTCTTGCGTTCGAAGACAGAGTTATCGCTTTCGTGTGCGTAGGCATCCACGTTAGTGCGTTAGTATTTGTCAATCTTCGTGATGCACCTCCTTAGCAAAATAAGAGAATAAAATCTGAACGAGAAAGTAAGCGGTTTGTGTAGATGCTGGACTACATATTGTGAATGGCAAACTCTGTAACGAGACTGCTGACACATTTAATCAAGAAGCTCTAGCTCATGCGCTTCTATTGCTGACGCGGAGAAAATTCAAAACGGGGAAAATAGTGACCGTGTGCATATTTTTGAAAGTAATAATCAGAGGCTGTCCTGTTGCAACAGAACAGGCAAACATTACTTTTTGCGGGAGGTCAAGAAAATCACCAAATTTCAAAAGAAAATTATCGTCTAGAAAGACAACGAAATCATGGAATGCCCATTAGGCACAACATCATTCTCGTATGAAAATATTTATTCCAATATTTTTAGTGAACCTGAGGCAATTGGTTCCGAGGCCGCCAATAACACAACTCCCGAAACATTCATGTCCAACCCACTACCTCCTACAAGCCTCTTCTGACTAAACAATAAACAGATTAACGACTTTCCACGTTTTTCGGTGAGCACTATTCATATATACGTTTGCTAGTTGGCTGAAAGACCCCCCCCCCCCCCCCCCCCCTATATTACGTGCTGACCCACTGTGTCGCGTTTTCATGCAAATTGTCCTCCTCCTCAAAAAGGTTACCGACCCCCACTCTAAACGATTCGGGTACATTCTTTCATAAATCACGGTGACACGCTTGGCACGTTATTTCCTCTCCTTCAGTAAACATCGTGATTGTAGTGATTCTTGTTTTACCACAGGTGGTCCTACGAATTGCAGTTGTTTTTGACGTAGAATGTCGAGTCAGCTGTGTACGGCTAGAGCATCTGCGTCCGTCAGCCGAAAAAAAAAAACGCTGTGTGACCAAAATTTCGCGAACCCCATGACACACAACCGGTCAAATAGAGATTAGTTTCTCCGTTGCAAGAAAACGTGTATGCAAGATAGGCTTCTACTTTATTGCACAAATCACACTCAACTTCGGTGCTTCCGTTTTGGGATGTCTTTGGTGCCATAAGTAATCTTATACAAGCTACGGAACGTATACTAATTCAATTTCTTTATAACAAATATTCGTAAAGAAATGCAAGAACGTCTAAAATTTAAAAACAAGAAAATATCAGACAACTTATTCGTAAAAAATGAAAAACGTTTTATAATTGAATACTCATAATTGACATTGTTCTAGTCAAATCAATGTACCTTTCTCGTATGCTTGCGTGGTCGCACGCTACATGCAGAATATTTTTTGTCGTATGATTTTAGTTTCTTTTTTTTCAGTTTTTATTCAATCTGCCTTCATGAAATTATCGTCTAAATGTTAACATGAAAAATCCTTGTCCAATAAATGGGCTTAGCACTATATAGTTCTGAGTTGCCAAACTTAATTAGGCTAAACGGGCTTCAAACACAAACGTATTTGGCATACTAGTTTGGCAGCTAACATTCAGTGCATACTCACCCCTAATGAGTGGTTGGGTTCGCGCACTTAAATATTACCTAAACTTCTGCTTGGAAAACAAGAAAGTTAGCAAAAATAGGTGATTACATGGCAAAGTGTTGCTGGTCTCCTTCAAAAGTTTTATAAACTCCAGAGTAGAAGTCCTGGGAGGCCTACATCTTATGAAAGAATCACGCACACAAGCACACGCTTTCAACTCAGTGAGACGCTCATCTCATTCGCGTACATTGAGGTGTCTTGGCTACGTGACAGTATTTTGCAATGGAAGAAACGCTGTCGCAATTAATGCACACGCAATAAAGGAACTAATTGTACAATAGCCCCACAGGAAGACTGCATAAGAAAAATGGTGTATGGAGGATACGCATGGAAATTATATGAAATTGACAAGTACCGGCTGCAAAAACAAACTAAACACTTATTTGCATGTGCCGTTTTTGTTGAACTACTGTTATTAAAGGACATCTTTACCACGACGGTACCTCCCGTATACAATCGCGTTAGTAAGAACTTATGGCTCACGTAATTAGAATGGTTATTGGAATGCATGAGCTCGAACATCATTTCGCGATAAAGAAATATTTATACGGTTTTTTCGGGAGGCACACGTCTAGGAAAGTCGACCTTGAATTTTGATTATACTTGGTATGATTTGTGTGCGTACAAAATGAATACCCTGGCGTGTTGCAGATGTTCGAGATTTTCCCAGTCTCCATCGCAGTATTCGACGCGGACAAGGACGGAGACCTCGATTGCCTCACGACGGTGCGGTCGAATTACGATGAGGAAGGCCACACGGTCACCTACACGTGGCTTTTGGCAGGTCTCAATGACCACGTGAAGTGAGATCTAGTCGACTCTTTTTGTCAGACTGTATAGCTGAATTAATCTGCCATCAGAATGCGCTTTTGCGCCTTGAGTGACCACGAAGTCGCGATGCCGTGGTTTAGTAACATCAATCAATCAATCAATCAATCAATCAATCAATCAATCAATCAATCAATCAATCAATCAATCAATCAATCAATCAATTTCACCTTCTTTCAGTAGGAGGAGTACGCGACTAAATGCTCTGGAGCTTTACAAGGCACCGACCCTATTGCAAGTTGAGAAAGAAGCAGGATGGAAGACCATCATGCATGTACAATACCTGCTTCAGCGTCGTACATGACGCAAAGTTACGTGTGAATGGGTATTGATGACACGCGTATTGGACAAGGGCTAGCTGTGATAGCCATAGAAAAAAAATTACGGATTCAGGTCAAACCTTCGAATCGGCGAGCAAAAAAAAAAGGTGCGGGGGGGGGGGGGGGCGCCGTGCAAGGTGGTATAGCGGTTTTGGTGCTCGGCTGCTGATTCGAGGGTCACGGGTTTGATCGCAGCAGCGGCAGACACATTTCAGTGGAGGCGAAATCGTATAGAGGCCCGTATACTGCGCCATGTCAGTGCACGTTAAAGATCAACAGCTGGTCAACATTTCCGTAGCCCTCTCGTACGCCGTCTGTGGCCTGAGCCCGTGTCGGCAGCCTTGCATCTGCGTTTCAAATAAAGCTTTTTGCGACAACCCATCATAATTATATCGCAGTTTTGTGACGTAAAACCTCATACATTATTATTATGCGAGCAAAAAACTAGTGATATAGAAAACAGAAGTCACAGAACAATAAGCGGGAACTTAGATTACGCACTTCGGGATGAAAAATCATAATCCATTGTCGTATATCCATTGCCATTGCCAATCGTGATTCATTCTCATCAAAATGGGCCATCACCTGTGAGGTACAAAGATTTGGGCAGATACAACGCATTGTGGGAATTATTTTCATGCGAACCAGTCAGTGAGTAGCCCCTAGGTGTTTTTCACGTTGAGCCAAGCGTTACGAAGCGTTTCAACGTGTTCGTTTAAATTTAGTGGTTGTTCACGTATTGTGGCCTTCCCAGGCATGTTGAATACACTGCAGTGCGGAAAGGTAGCTCAAGGTCTCGCATAATGCGGGTATTCGCGTTAGAGCAGAGACGCAAGTTTGATCGCAACGAAGTACAAGCTGTGTTGTGATGATGTGCGTTTGTTAAGTTTCATTTTTTTCCGCTTATTCGAGCAACGCTCGAACAACCCGAGGAGTGCTTCGTGTCATTTTCCCATGTTATATACTGATGTCCTCTTATGAATGTGTGTATATTACCATGTTTAGTCGACTACGACCAGAGTGCGCAAATGCAGGCAGCTAGACGGGTAGATAGAAATGGTGAAAGTCACTTGCATTAAAGAGCAACCTGTAGATGCCTGATTGGACGAGAAAATTGACTATCGACGGCGACCGTCCTGTGGTGACGAATACGAGTGATGCAAAAAAAAGTCGCACTCTGATGACATCACCATATAACGACAACATAATGTCACATAGCACAAAAATCTGACGTTGCGAATTCTTAATTGCTGACACGTGACGTAACGCTACATGATGCCTTGTAGCACCGTCTTTTGGGCGCTCAACAAAACCGGAAATCACGCGACCTCAAAAGAAAATGGAAGGGTGCTTTGTAAATTCCAAAGTGTGTTCGGCGAAAGCCTGTCACCATTCGAATGACTATGCCAGACTTTTCAGGGCGAAGCTTCTTAGGACATAGCCTTGTCTTGCGTTGTGGTCATAACCGCGGATAGAGTCCAAACACATGTGACACACAACACAAGAAACAGGGTTTACTGTAGACTTAAGCCTAGACATAGTCTAATTATGCGGTGAAAGATTGTTGTTCTCTGTGAAAACAATCTATCGTTTATGAGCCTGTGTTTTGAAAAATTAGCCTAGAAATTGAGACTTATCATAGAAACCTGTAACACAAAGGCGCAAGTCAACCATCATATGTCCTAAGAAATAACTCATTTTAAAAGCATCTTGCCACCATTGAGAGGGCTGGTTCTTGGAATATTGTCCACACCAGCTATTTCCTAAATCCTTCTTGAATTGCTTACGATGACTGGAAAACAAAAGAAATTCACATTTATATATTGATTTTATGTCGCGCAATCAGCATTATGTGTGGCAAAGCTCGTGTAATGTACAGTTACTCACCGATACGATACCCAGAATTCCACGCACTCATCTAGATGTACGCTCAGAGCCTGTTTGCCTTATCTTCAATGTAATTTTTAGAGAGAGTAGATTCGTGATGCCATTAACAGTGATTGTAAGGTTCTCGGCGAAGTGTTCTGGCCTCCTTCAAAAGTTTTGTATTACGGTTGTGCGCAAGTAGCGTAATGGTTAAAGAGTAAGGAATGAAGCAGTAGAGCACCACATTGGTTCCTTTTGAACATTTTATTTTGGTCGTTAATTCATTTACTTCAGACTACGCGTCACCACTATTGTTATTTACGTTGAGCTTTTTTCATGGCTGCGCACAGTCCATCAGCTTGTGATTGACGATGTGATGAATTTTTCCAAGCTCTAGCTTCTATCACTGATATATTAACATTTGTGCTACATGACAAAACTAGCGCGTGCGAGAGGGAGAAATAAACAAAGAAACTGAGAGAGAGAGAGAAACTAAAATAATCTGCAGTCCTGGAGGACGACGGGAGAAAAGGCTTTGGCCATTTTCCCTCCTTCATCCCTCGAACTTCCGGCCTTCAGGCTTGCGTATACAAATATTTTATAACCATTCTTTTCCAGGAAAAATGTCACCTTCAATCTGAGAGAAGGACTCAGCCCGGACAAGCCCATTTACACACCGGAAGATGGTAAGAGTGCGGTCTGATGAGATAATTACAAGAAAGAACTGTTTTATGCCTTTGAGCTGAAGAACAATGCTGTTTGTTAAAATTGCTCTAGCTGTTTCGGTGTGTAAGCTGTAGATGCAGAATGTAAAAACACTCGTTTGTGAGAGTTCTACATTGAGAAATGCTGGTTAACTTATTCCTCGCCTAATCGTTCTGCAGTAGCACCGAACTGCAGAGTATCTACAGGTGGGCGCGACTCAATTAAAAAGTGAGAATTTATGACTGACTATTCATTTATAGGCATTGTCTGCTGGCACTGATTACGGTTGTTTATATTTAAAATAGCTCATAAATTCCCCTTTCATGCATTCGCAGGTCTCGTTCTATTAGAATTGATATAGTCACTGTGTTGCAAGGGGTTTTAAGTCAGCCGCCAGCTCTTAAAGATATGACGTGCTACGTGACACCAGCAGGCTAGAAAAAAGTATTCCATACTTGCCGTCATAGATGCGAGCGATGCTGATTGATAATATCAGGTTTAAATGTACAGATGTGCCCGAGTAAGCGTACTACCGCTGCCGTAGCATGATTAGTAGGGAATAAGCCGCGTTATCCGATGATTGCAGGTTGAGTCGCTGCTGTACGCACGTTGTCTTTTAGTTCAATTGAACTTCTTCAAGTGCACTGCAGTCAAATGCAGTGATGTCGAAAGGCTACACAGAACGTCCCGTATTCATCCCTTAAATTATTTGCGTGCACGCATCCATCTTTCACTGAATAAATCTAACAGCTGGCCTGAAGGATAAATTGGACAAAAGAAGTACATGAAGCAAGGTTGATTTCACAGCGAGAACGCGCAAGAGTTTGAAACATCGCCACTAACAAGAAAATGGAGTAGAAGGTCAGCGATGGAAGCTATTTGTATCGTGTGAGTTCTGTTTGCGGCAATGTTATAAGGCTACTGTTTAAAATCTGAGGAAAGTGTAAGTATACACTGAATTGGTGAGAAGACAAACTCAAAGGCACAGTGACTACAAATAAATCAAGAGCCAAACTTTATATAACACAATATGCTCTACACCAGACCCAAGTACGCGCAGGTAGCATAGGCAACATGACCTAAAATATTAAAAAGTTTGATTAGGATTCTCATGTTCCCGTGATGTTACTTAGTTCGCATCTTCCTGCTTTATATTTTTCTCTAGTCCATACGAGCTCATATGAGGTAGATTTGTTGTAGAAATTCTTACAAAGTTGTCATATATTTCGCGACTCAATGTCGTGGGCACTTAGTTTCAAAATGCTGTTTCCCTTCGCTCTGTGTGTCAGGTGACGGAAGTGACAAGGTTGCCAATTTCATCTACACTGACTACAAGACATGTACTGTTTTGGAAATCCCATACAAGAACGAACAAGGTAAGTTGCAAAGTTCAACAAGATCAGCCAAAGTGTGTTCGTAAAGCTTCTCTAAAATGCATTTCTAACGGCCAAATGGTGTGATGTTACAGCTGATTTGATTGATATGTGGGGTTTAACGTCCCAAAAGCACCATATAATTATGAGAGTCGCCGTAGTGGAGGGCTCCGGAAATTTAGACCACGTGGGGTTCTTTAACGTGCACCCAAATCTGATCACACGGGCCTTCAACATTTGCACCTTGTTCGGAAATGCAGCTGCCGCAGCCGGGATTCGAGCCCGCGACCTTCGAGTCAGCAGCCGAGTACCTTAGCCACTAGACCACCATGGCGGGGTGGTGTGATGTTACAGCATTCAAAGGCTCTAACGCGAAACTAATTTATTCTGTTCTTTAATAATTGTACAAGGATCGACTTAGAATGATGGCACCAAAAAACTGCCACCATCACTATGTTGAAAAAAAGTAGAAAGTCGGTTTGTTTCATTGACGCAGTGATGCTAGAAATATGTAGGACAACAATTTCTTAATACCTTGCCGGTGCACTAGAAACCATTTTTTATGGTAATATATACGTGCTTGCACGCCGGTAATGCGCTACCATAAACATGCATAGAAGCCACTTGTTTTGTCTATGTATGAATAGCCGCATGTATAAATTGGCGCCTTGCACGTATATGTGCAGTGTAAATTTTTATAAAAGGGAACACGGGAACGCGTGGCCTGCGCGCTCCGGCAGCTTCTGGCAGCGCGTTCAAATGGAAGCGAGAGCAACCGCAGCCTCTTTTCGCGTCATCTCGTGGCGAACAAAGCAACCATTCAATGCTGATATGAAACCAGCGGCAAGATACCATCCCCCCCCTCTCTCAAGGTGGATAACGCAAGAAGCCGGTAATCACCTTGAAGAGGGACGGTGTGCTATCTTGCCGCTGATTCATATAAGCAATGAATGACGTAGCTTTGCGCACCGTCAGATGACGTGAAAAGAGGCTGTGGTTGCTCTCTCTTCAACTTGAACGCGCTGCCAGCAGCCACAGGAGCACGCAGGCTATGCATTCCTGTGTTATCTTCCATAAAAATTGACACTGTACATGCATGTTTAGCATAGTGTATACGTAGCTAGAAAGTGTTCGGTCCTAGAGTGTGGCATGCTTACCGCAAGCATGTGTCATGAAGTTGCAGTAGATGACAGCAAATAGCATTCCTCCGGTACAACAAAGCTGATTCTGGAGTACAAGATGGTTTTCTTGTATGCAGAACAAGCGCGAGCATTGGGGACTTGCGGCAGCCATTTTTATAAAGGCAAAAATCTTAAATGTCTCATAAAATGTGAAAAATGACCTGATAATGTGACATCATCACTTGTTCAAAGCAGAGCCGATCACGGACCCACGACACTAGCACGTTAGGTGCCGAAGGCTTTCCACTCTTTCTGGCAACAAAGCCATGAAAAACTGCGTTGGGCGCAGAAAGACTACGGTAGACAGCGGCACGACAGTCTGAGGAGGAAAGGAAACAGATGGCTTCCGCTTTCCAGTCGTTAGACGTGAATGCATAAGGGACATTGGAACTTCTGTGAAATTATTGCAAGACCATTTAAAATTCTACATATAAAAGCGCGTGTTAGCCAACAAATATGTCTATAATATATTGAGTATGAGGCATAGAAAGGCAAAGAAAAGCTTGTTATTTTCTCGGACTCTCCGAACGTTTTCTTACAACACCGAGCAGAAACCATGCAAATGCCGACTGCACCTTTCGGAGCACAGCAAATGAGAGAGCAGATATTTGAAGTTCTTGACCAGATACGTGATCACAAAGTTTACAAAAAATTACACGCTCCCTTCTAGTTCAAAAAATGACACGTTTACCTGTTATTCATTCCCGAGTACTTCTGCCAATGTTTAACATTTTAGCGTAGTATATTTGAGCTAAAGATCCCACTCGTTAATTACTCGTCATGCCAAGACAGCTGTTGAACTAAGATTTTGTTCCTGATTTTATTAAATACCATGAAACGCAAAATAAAATAACAATAGACGGAATGGCAGAGATGTGGATTGGAGGCACTCCGTCTGCATTCTAAAGGAACGATGAAATGAAAGTTGAACAAGAGCAGAATTGTGCATAGTGAGGTCATGCACAGAGGCGCAACAAAAGCGTTCAACTTTCAGATCATAAGATTTTGTGATGTTGTTTAATGCATGCCCATAGGCATGCATTAGGCCAAGTTATCGGACCCAGGCCTAAAATATTAGCGAAGCCGGGTTAAACGGGCGCGGGAGATGGCGAAGGCCCGTGGCTACCTGGAATAAGAAGGCCACACACCTTGGGTGCACACTGAATTTACTCAAATGAAAGATTATTTTCTCTCTCTCCTTATAAACATGAAAGAAAATAGAAGTGTTTCAACCAGTTCTATAATGCATTTTGAACAAAGTTCCTAAGGGTATTAATTCATCACAATAATTGAAATAAAAAAATTCCAAATGAATGTATGAATTATGGCACCTTACGCCGTAATACGAAGACGCAAAAGAAGTACGCGGCACTGACGTTCTTAGGATATCTAAGTGCCCTCACCTGCACGTTCTTTTTTCTAAATATTTGTTTGTTGTGTTTATGAAAGGTACGTGATCGTTTGAAATTATTTTGGAACGAGGGACAATATATCGAAGAGAACATTTTCGTAATGACTGTATCCTGAAATCAGAAAGTCGTGCATTTAATCTGGAAGTGGTCACGGCTGGACACCTGCTGAGTTGGCTGGGAAAACTGCGGGTTTATCTCACTTGATAGTGAAATTACATCCGTAATGCCTCTCATTCTTTTGCCTTCGTCGCAGAGTGCATCTTGTGGGTAACCCGGGAAGCCCTGAACAACGTGCCTCAAAATTGTGTCGACCATTTCGAGGACAACTGTGACGTCGACAATCCGGTTTACGATCAAGAGAGCTGCGCTGCTGTGACAGCCAACCTATAGCATGTCCTGTGAACTTTGCTTTAAGGTATCAGCGAGTACCAAGGTCTGACTTGTTTCAATGTGTTGTCGAAAAAATAAACCTTTCTTTTCCAGTCCCACTTTTCAGTAATTATAACTCTGCCTTTTGGGGCAGTACCAGAAGCTCACTTTCTTCCATGAAGTCAAGAGGGGATTTCATTACCAGCGTTGAGAGCTCGCCAGCATTGCACTCATAAATCACCGATTGAACCTGCCCGAGCACATAGGCACTCTGGGTACTTTGTGTTCCATGACACACAGCAAGCCTTCAACTCGGTCTCATATAGGGCGAATATTTGTGCAGTTTTGAATGCGAAAATTTCAGGTCGTTTGCTGCATTTTGTGCAAGATTTTCCATCGGGGTGCAGAATGAGGGTGCGTTGAAGATATAACAAGTGTACATCAAGCTGTTAATCTTGGCGTCTCGTAAGTTAGTGTTTCTTGGTCGCCGCTTTTCTTCGACAACGTTGTAGCTGCCCTTTCATGCCGATCGCCTCCAAAAACGGAGCTTCCAGTCGGCATAGCATTTTATGCTAATAATATCGCATTATGGTTAGCTGCCCTTCACACCATGATCCACTTCTTCTTGAGATATTGCTGAGAGAGCTGTATGGAACTCAGTAATACTTGGTAGAAGAGGGTGTACAGATTTCCCCTGGTATGTCAGCCATGACTGCTTGCCACCCTGGGCAGAAAGCTCGTCAAAGATTTAGTTCGTTGAATCACGAATCAAAGAGGCAATAATGCAACGGCTACAGCAATACCACTGTCACACAGGTCCCGTTAATTAGGGAGGCGATCGCCGGGCTAATTCCAAGGGCCGAAGTACGGGCCCCCCGAACCGCACCACGAAAGCGTGGACAATTTAGAAGTGGTACTTTTTGGCGCGCCAGCGGACGCCGGCTGTGGCCCAAAGAACAAGTCAGAGCCGAGAGTTGATAAACAAAACAAATATTATATTCTCAAAAATGGCAGATCGAAAACAATACACAAGAATGCACACTCCACAATAGTTAAGTACAATATGTCACCGATCAAACAACGTACTACACAGTACAATTAGCCACACTTGAACAACGGACACAGACAACAGTACACGCTACAATGCAGTCGCATGCATTGAACAACCAAGACACCTAAAGACTAAAGAGATAGAAAACGTATTCAGTCCAAAGTCCTTGGAACAAAAGTCTGAACGATACTCTTCCGAGAATCACTCACTCAAAGTCCAGCGTTGTTGCCGTTCCGCTGCCCCGAAGTTTCTCTTCCAGGAAACCTCGCGTCTTCAATTGGCCACTCTCCAAGCTTCAAACTTCTTCGCCGGAAACACGTCGGCTTCACACACGCAGCTGTTGCCACGCGTCCTCGCTCGATAGCGGTAGACACACGCTCTTGCCTGTAGCTCAAGCCTTCACCCCTCAGGTGGAAATCCTCTTCTTCTTCTCCTGCTTTGTCTCTGCGGACAAAACCTTCGCCGACTACACGGCGGAAACCCTACGCGCCCTGGCGTTAACTTCCGTCTTCTCCTGATCTCTCATCTCGGCTGCTCGGTTAAATACCTTGCGCGCGACATTCCAGACGATTCTCGTCATTTCGTCGGCGCGATACGCAGCGAAGGCTGGGAAGAGGGCGAGACGGTTGGAATGCCCTCTGCGGCCGATGACTCAACTCGGTATGACCACGCCCCTTTCGTTCTAGAACTTTCGCGGCCTATCTCGGCCGCCGAGGTGGGGTGAGGAGGTTCGTCGGCGAAGCCACGCTTCCGAGGGGAGAGCGCGCGCCCGGGGAGCCTTTAGATATTTGTTTTCTTTTTCTTTTGACCTCGCGGCGTTACTCCGGCGTTTCGTCGCGACAATTTGGCGGCGCGCCCATTTTTAGCGCTCGTTCTGTGACACTGCCCCCCACTTTAAGAATATTATCTCATAATATTCAAAACCACACAAACGAGCGCGAACAGTCCCCACACACTCAAAGACTGTAACATAGCCCGTCGCTCATGACACGTCACATTCGCAATAGTTCACTCAATACAATTGTACATTGTAATTCAATTACACTACACATGAAATATAACCACAGGCACATGAGTACAACACTCCACCACACATTCCCAATAATACAAATGTACAAAGTTCTCTCATTACAACAATTATACAACACTATACATCACATCACAGCACAAACACTTCGACACTTGTGACACAGGATAACACAACATTAACACAACATATGGCACTCAGCACTGCCAAACACATTCTGATTCGACCTCAGCACCTATCCTGTGTATTTCGAGCTGCGCTTGCGTCCTTTCTTGCGGTGCTCGCTCGATCTCTTCTTGTTTTTCCTTGTTCTTTTTCGGCGAGCCTTTTCCAACGACGGTATCTGAGGCAGCGTCTCAGCCATCGTTGTCACTTCCGACCCTGCTAATGGGTCATGACGTTCAACGGGTCCGGTCTGTTTAATTACCAGCTTGTTCATGTCTCTACATTTGGCCTGGCTGGCCGACTCCGTCTCCTTTACACTGTCGGTCGGTTGGGGTCGTGCCGATGTACGTCCAGCTGCCCAGCGCGTGAACTCATTCAACACGATCGTCTTCTCATTCGCTGTCTCTTGCGCCGCGGCTTCACCTTGGGCTCTAGCGAGATCCGTCACGGGATGCTCCTCCACTGTATCTCGCGGTCGCTGGGTTGGCGAGGGCTCTATCTTAGGGTCTTCTCCCAAACATTCCGGATCATTCGGTCCTCGCGCCCCGGCGATGTTTCCGATGACAAGGTCGTAAAGGGGGGTCGTCATGCATAAAGCAGTAACCTTCCCGCTGAAGTACGGGGTTTCCACCTGAATCTCTGCTTCGGGAAGCATCCGAACTGTACGGTCAATCAAGCAAACCGGTTTCGTTTTGCCGGTCAGCTCACTTTCCCGTACCAAATTTCTCCGCACGATAACCGTGGAGCTACCGGTATCTCTTAGAACCGTAATCTTCTTCCCCGCAACCTTTCCAGGCAGCGTTGGCATTCCCTTCGTAACACCGGTTGGCCGTTTTGACATTACAGCTCCCACAATAGGAATTTTCTCCCCATTTTTCAGCTCTACAAATCCGTCGGTGACGGCATTATTATCAGATTTCGGTGCCACTTGCGCACAGGATACCTGGTGAGTTTGACTCACTCCGTTCCGACAAGCGTCTGCTTTGTGCCCAGTCTGACCACACTTGAAACATTTTACTACCGTAGGGCTCGTAAAGATCGTTCGACAGTTTTTCGCGCGATGACCCACTCGGTTACACAGAAAACATCGCGGAATGCTCTCTGGTGCACGCTTCTTTTCTTCGGGAGCCAATTTCTTCGAATCATCGGGACAATCCTTCTTGACCTTAGCCAAATTAGTTCCACCTTGCGCTTCCAAGAATTGATCAGCTAATTCAAGCATGTCCTCAAGTGACTCAGCCTTCCTCTCTTTCAAGTACAGCGACAAGCTTGGGTGGCAACTAGTAAGAAATTGTTCTCTAATTAGGAGCTCTCTAAGTTCATCGTACTCCTGCGCTGTCCCTGAAAGTTCAATCCATCTGTCGAAATAATGGCAAAGTCAGGCGGCATACTGTGTAGCCGTCTCACCATCAGCTGGCTTTCCTGTCCGAAATCTGTCCCGGAAACCTTCTACAGTAAACCTAAATCGCTTCAGCAAAGCAGCTTTCACCTTTGCATAGTTGGCTGCATCGGTCGGCGTCAGCCTACCGTACACACTGAGCGCTTCACCACTCAAGCAAGTACTCAAAGCAGTTGCCCATTGATGTTCCGGCCAATTCTGGCTCCTCGCAATCGTCTCAAATCGGTGAAGGTACGCGTCAAGGTCGTCCTTCCTTTCATCAAACGCCACGAGCAGCTTGCTTGGGTTCAAGCGGAGGCCATGATCTTCCCTTTCGCTGCTTTCAACTCTAGGTTGGACGGGAGTTTCACTTCGCTGTTGCAAACGGAGCCGCTCGAGTTCTATCTCGTGCTGTCGCTGCCGTTCCCTTTCCTCTCTTTCTTCTTTCGCCCTCTCAGCTGCCAGTCTTTCTCTCTCCAGCTCCAACTTCAATTGCTGCTCTCTTTCTTCTCTCGCCCTTTCGGCTGCCAACTTTTCTCTCTCCAGCTCCAACTTCAATTGCTGCTCTCTTTCTTTTTTCAGCTGTCGCTCCTTTGCTTCTCTTTCTTCTCTCGCCATTTCAGCTGCCAACTTTTCTCTCTCCAACTCAGCTGCTTTTTCTTCCTTGGCCCTCTCAGCTGCCAACCTCTCTCGCTCTGCCGCCTCTTTCTCCTTCTGGCTTACCCATTTCCGTAGTTCGGCGCCAGAAAGACCCATCTTCTCACCAAGAGCAACTAACTTTTCGAGATCCATGGTGTCTCGCAAATAAAGTCTTGCTGCGTGCCAAAAAATATCTGCCTAAATCAGTCTATCGGAACACTCCCCTGCACTCGTTAACGAGAACACTGAACAACACACAAAATCGTTCCGATAGCCCTATCAACAACTCGAGGCTCTTTCTCACTACTTTGGACACACTGTGCACCAAAAGGTCCTGTGTCGCGGACGCCTGATTAATTGTCACACAGGTCCCGTTAATTAGGGAGGCGATCGCCGGGCTAATTCCAAGGGCCGAAGTACGGGCCCCCCGAACCGCACCACGAAAGCGTGGACAATTTAGAAGTGGTCCTTTTTGGCGCGCCAGCGGACGCCGGCTGTGGCCCAAAGAACAAGTCAGAGCCGAGAGTTGATAAAAAAAAACAAATATTATATTCTCAAAAATGGCAGATCGAAAACAATACACAAGAATGCACACTCCACAATAGTTAAGTACAACATGTCACCGATCAAACAACGTACTACACAATACAATTAGCCACACTTGAACAACGGACACAGACAACAGTACACGCTACAATGCAGTCGCATGCATTGAACAACCAAGACACTTAAAGACTAAAGAGATAGAAAACCTATTCAGTCCAAAGTCCTTGGAACAAAAGTCTGAACGATACTCTTCCGAGAATCACTCACTCAAAGTCCAGCGTTGTTGCCGTTCCGCTGCCCCGAAGTTTCTCTT